GGAGAGTAGAGGGACGACAACGAACATGACCTTAGTAGAGGGACAAGAACGAATAAAATATTAAAGTAGAGGGACGACAGTTGGCTTTAAACCAAAGAAACTCAGGGATGAAAAATTGAAATTCAAATTAGAGATTCCGTCATTCCCATAAAAAGAATAAGAGACTTAATTGAACATATTTAAAATTACTAAACCAATTTATCTAAATATAAGATTCCAATTGGAGGTCTATTTCGAGTAATTTGCCCTAGCTAATATAAAATAAATCCCAGATTTGGTAAGACGGCGCCGGCCCGTGCGGCCAACCGGCCGGCCAAAACATACCCTTCGCTGAATTTCTGACATTCCCAGTTTCTTTCATCTTCCCAAAAAAGGGGCAAACCCCTGTTCCAGCACAGATTTGCTCAAAATTCGACCACTTCTCTTCCAAATTTCAATTCAAAATCCTAACCCTTTTGTGACAACCAATGGCGGTTAAGGAACCGGTGATATTCACAGAGAAAGATGAGATGAGGAAATGGTCAAGAAGCATGAGATCGCAGGGGAAGACCATAGAGTTGGTGCCCACCATCGGTTATCTTCACCAAGGCCACTTGTCGCTCGTTGACGAAGCACACAAGCACGCCAAGGTCGTTGTCGTCTCCATATATGTGAACCCAGGTCAGTTCTCTCCCTCCGAGGACCTTTCCACATACCCATCTGATTTTCACGGTGATATACTCAAGCTCAAGTCTGTTCCTGGGGGAGTCGATGCTGTTTTTGCTCCTAAGAATCTTTATGACTATAGGGAAAGTAAGAAGAATGAGATTGATGTTGATATGGAAAATAAGAATTCTTGCAAGAAAGGGGTGGTTTCATGTGTGGAGGAGAGGGGAATTGGGCACGAAACATGGGTTAGAGTTGAGAAATTGGAAAAAGGATTGTGTGGGAAAAGTAGGCCTGTGTTCTTTAGAGGGGTTGCTACTATTGTCTGCAAGTTGTTTAATATTGTGGAGCCTGATGTTGCTGTATTTGGGAAGAAGGATTATCAGCAATGGCGGATTATTCAACGAATGGGGAGACATTTTACTGTTCCTGATCCTTTATTTTTGGCAAGAATGATTGGAATGTTGGTAATGGAAATCAATAATGAATTACAGTGTTAATTTGATAGCTTTTCTTTTTTTAGTTTGGCTTGATTTCTACAGCTTAGAGATCTAGATTTTGGCATAGAAATTATGGGGTCTGATATCGTGCGCGATAGAGATGGTCTTGCACTGAGTTCGCGAAATGTCCATCTTTCCCCGGAAGAAAGGGAAAAGGTTTTCTCAAAATCCCTTGCACTTTTTTATTTTGTAAACCTTGAGGCATGCTTATAGTTTCTTAAAATATCCCATATCTTGTCTAAAGTATAGGATGCAAGTGTTGTTGTTGTTGTTGTTTTTTTTTTTTTCACTATCCGTTTGATGGAAAGCATTTTGAGAAGATTCTTGACTTGACAATTCCAACGCAAATTATTTTGTATTGCCGAGAATCTTTCTTGTTCATCAATTGAAAAATTTTGTTTGTATTTCCCCAGGCATTATCTATAAGCAGGTCATTGTTGAAAGCTAAATCTGATGCAAAAATAGGTCTTGTTAATTGTAAAGAATTGACAGATACAGTCGTACAAACAATTACTCATGCAAGATGCAACAGAGTAATTGTTGAATATTGAGAGAATACCTGCCTCGTACTTTCTCATTTCTTACAGATAATGCTAGGGGTGGATATGGAAACCATCAAGGTATAAATTATTAATTTTGAATTTTGTTGTGAAAATGATTTGCAATATTCCAGTTCAAAGATTCATGCAACTGAATAATAAATTATTGAAAGAATACGTGCCTCATACTTTCTCTTTTCTTATAGATAATGGGGGTTCTTCAAACTGGGGTCGAAGTGGGGGCAGAGGAAGAGGTTGGAGCTATCGTGGTTAAGTTTGCTTCATTTATAGCATATACAACAAATGATTGGTCACTTCGATGAATTTTCTATTTTAGAGTTTGGGCTGTGGAGAGTGTTTATCTCAGTGCAGGTATCTTAATTTTGCTAGCCAAGGAGATGTTAATTTGAATTCATAGCTGATCATCAAGTACTCCTCTTTGTTTTAACCCTCTGACAGGTGGATATGAAAGGGGTAGAGGTGGAGGAGGCAGAGGCTATGGCCATAGCCGTGGAAGGATGGGTGGCCGGTCAAGGGGTGGTGGCTACTGAAGCATAATCAAGGATATGGTGTTGCTTCCTCCTTTTTTCCCTTTAGGTAAATGCTTGCCTTGGCCAGTTGGGAAAATTATCAGAATATTTTTTTTAGTAGAATGAAACTATGGGTTATGTCTTGAGAAAATAGAAGGGAATGGAAGAATGCTATGTCTTTCTATTTTTCTTTCTTTTTTCTCATTTAGATAAGGGAATGGATTAAGAATTAAAAATAAAGTAAAAGACTTTCTTCTCTTATTTTTTTTTTTCTTTGATGAGAGTTTTAAGATGTCATGGTTTAAACTATCGTTTTGAAATTTTTTTGGTATTTGATTTAATTTAATATATATATGAAATCATTTGTAACAATCTTTGCGATACAGAAGGGAAGAACATATTAGTATTATAGCTGATGACAAACGGATCGGATGAGTTCTGAATTTTGGATGGGAACCAACTATAGAATCAAGATCCATCTCAAAAGTGGATAAATGGAATGGAATTTTCAGGTTGGAACACATCCCCCAATGGAACTTCCACTCCAGTCCAGCGACTCGCCGACTCCACGCCATCCTTTCCTATCCTATTCTCTATCTTGCCAGGAAGATGTCCATGTTCATTCATTCCCGTTTTTGTCTTTTTAATGGAAGGAGTAGTGGATTAGTCTACCTTTAAATAATAACAGTCCTTAGATTATGTAATATACACACACATATATATATATATATATATATTACTCCATCTCTTTCAAATTATATATTTTTATAAATTTCAATTAAGTGAAAGAGCAGTGGGTTAGTCTACCATTAAATAGTAACAGTCCTCAAATTATGTAAAAAAAAAAAA